GTTTGTTCTCCAAACTTGTGGTTTGGTTTCTGAACGTTTCGTTACCAGATTAGATATCTTCAGCAGAGTTTAGGGGATGTCAGTGTTCTTCTGTTTATAAGTTTATAATATCCCATAAACTCTCCTAAAGATGTTACCTAGCCTGGTAATGAAACATTCAGAAACCAAACCACAAGCTTGGGGAATGGATCTTCACCCTCAAAAAATACAGTATTTCATAAGTCATAACTGTTCCTCTCTGACCAGCTCCTGCTCTTACAATGGCTGCACATAGGGTGGAGTTGGTGAACTAGTTTTTCAGAGCACAACTTATCAAACACTGAGAGGAAGAAGCCCACATAATCCAGTGGTGGGATTCAAATACGTGAACAACCAGTTCTCTGTGTGGATGCTGCTTCTGCAAGTCATTCTGGGCCTGGGCAACAAAACTTAGCTACCAGTTCTGCCAAAGTGGTGCAAACCAGCTGAATCCCACCACTGCTCAGACCTGTCTTGCATGATACAGCAAAAGCTGTGGATTTACAAGGACAAGTCCCTTTTCTCCATGTAGACATTTGGAGAATAGATGTGGAGGGCAGAAACCAATAATCAGAAGAGAGGGATTTTGGAAACTCTGCATATTAACAAATAAGAGTTCAGACATTGCCTCAATTGAACAGCAGAGAAAACATAAACCTGGACTCATGCTGGTGCAGATCAAAAATACTATTTTAAAAGCAGAGCAGGAGAGCATTATTGCAGGCTCCCTTCTCAACAGGATAGAGGAGAGTTGAAGATGGCATCACAAATGACCACTGAAGTGTTGCTTGTTTGCAATTAGCAGGTCATGCAGAAAAGCCCTAAGATTAGCTAAATGAATATATGGGGGGTCATAGATTTGTCATTTCAACAGCAGGCTCCTTCTTCAAGCTGTGCATGTTAATGTGACTTGCCATGTTTCATTTCTAATGTTTAATGTTTTAATGAGCACACTTGGTGAGGGAAGTAATCCATTTCTACAGTGGAACTCTGTGCCCTGCTCAGTAATTCAGCTATAATGCCAGAAAAAGTGAAAAGCACATCATGGAATGTTTCTATGGAAATAGGCAAAAACAGCTTATCTTTTAATGCAGAGGTGGGACATGTGTGTGGCCTTCTAGATAATGCTGTATCACAACTCTTAGCAATTCCAGTCAATACAAATAATGGATTGCAAATTCTAATTTATCCCACATCCCCATTCTAATTAAGAGTAGTTGCATGTGAAACCATGAAAACTAAAGAAAGAACTAAAAGTAAACTTTATATTGGAGAAATGTCTTCCAGACCAGACAAATGATTAGATAATCTTCAAAATCCAACTCCACATGGCTCAGGTGGAGTTGAATATATATATATATATATATATATATATATATATATATATATATATATATATATATATTTTGTTTTCTGAGGTTTTCGCGGGTATTTGTATGTAGGTCTTTGGTTGTTTGGGTTTTCTCCCGCGTAAAATTGGAAGTGTCTTGGCGACGTTTCGACGAAGTCCCATTCGTCATCTTCAGGCTGGTGTTTTCAGCTTCGTGCTTTGAGCAGCAATGTGTGGTCTTAGCTGTTTCTTCCTTTTAACTGCCAGTGGGGGTATGAACTGATTGGGTGGGAGCTTGGCTGTGTTCTGATTGGGTTTTATCTTTGGGGTTTCTAAGGATGGTGGATATTTTTCTGTTTGTGCAGAATGCTGTTTTGATGTTGTGTTTATGGAGGATCTTACTGATTCTGTCTGTGGTGCCTTTTATGTATGGGAGGAGGGCTTTGCCGTTTTCTTGTTCTTTGTCTTGGATTTTAGTGGGGGTTTCTTTTTGGATTAGGTTTGTAATCTTATTTCTATGGAATCCATTGGATGTTAGTACATTGGTGAGAGTGTGTAGTTCGGGTTTTAGGTGTTGTTTGTCAGCTAAGCGTTTTGTTCTGGAGATGAGTGTCTTGGCTACAGAGTTGATCTGTACTGGGTGGTGGTGTGGGAGAGCGTGCAGATAGCGGTTTGTGTGTGTTTTCTTCTGGTAGATGGTGTGTCCTAGGGAGCCATTGGATTTCTTGTAGACTAAGACATCCAGGAAGGATGTCTTAGTCTACAAGAAGACTACACACTCTCACCAATGTACTAACATCCAATATATATATATATATTTTCAAACATAGACACACACACACAGCATTAGACAATTTATTATTATTAAACATAATTTCAATAATGATAATAATAATAAACCTCTCAGTATTCTAATATTGTTTAGGGTTCTTTTTAAATGATTGTACTTCCCTGAATTTTAATTTTGTAAATTCCTTGTCTTATTTCCTATTTCCTATCCATATAAGGACACATAGCATTCATACTGCACTTTATTGAGATTTACTAAAACTGCTAAAGTTTTATTTCATTCTCAACAATGAGATGAAACCAATTTTAAATGGCAAATAACAGTATTAGGAAGGGATTTTATATATAAGAATAAAAGGATCACAGGGGGACTTGATTACTAGTCTAAACCTAAGTGAAATCAATTAGAATACTTTGGTGTATGGTATTTTAATTAATAGAAATCCAAACACCATTGGAGCATAATTGAAAAAATTATAATAACCTTCAGGGAAAAAGATGAAATCATTTTTTCTAAGAATATCAAAAGAGATAACTATATAATTGCTGGCAATACCTTCTTCTGCATTCTTTGTACTTCTCTTTGCCACTGCCTGAATACAAAATTATTTAGTATAGAAAGTAAACCTCTGTGTATTTTAACATGTAGTTGTTGAACCATGCCTAGAGAGAGGGGGGATTTGCTATTTAAAATCATATGAATATTAATGTACGTTTTATAAAAAAAAGGCATATTTAAATGGTAAGCTGAGCTGAGAATTCTTCCAGCATAGTAAATGCCCTGTGTTCGATGACAGAGCTTTCACAGAGGCCTTTGATGTAGTATCTGGTACCAGACCTAAACAAAGCCTGTCCAACAACTAAAATGTATAACGCAAAGTTAGAGGTGAACTATGTGAAAATGATATTAATATAAGAGATTTATCTCCCACAGTTACAACTACAGACACAAACATAACGGCTGGGTTAGGAACACCAGAATGATTTATAAAATAAAAAGATGCTATGAAGGAGAAAAACAACCACATCCTATAAATGGCCACATTTAGAATTCCATATTACCTTCCCTGCCCGCTTAAGGTCTATATGAAATGAATGGAAAATACCATACAAAGTTAGGCGTTATTGCAATGCAAATAACAGCTAGTACTGTAATGGTTTTTATTTTATTTTTTACCCTTTTACCATATCAAAGTATGAAGTTTTAATACTTATCTAAGAGTGATGGAAATTAAATGTGCTTTTTAGATCAGTCTAGACCAGGGGTCTGCAACCTTGACAACTTTAAGACTTGTGGACTTCATCTCCCAGAATTCCTCAGCCAACTTAAGCTATGCTGGCTGAGGAATTCTGGGAGATGAAGTCCACAAGTCTTAAAGTTGTCAAGGTTGTAGGCCCCTGGTCTAGATCAAATAGAGCTAATTGTAATGCTAGAGATGTACTTATTCAAGATCCAGTCCATCCCTCTAGAAGGAGCCATGTTTAGTTCAGTTTAATGATTGAATGGTTCAGTTTAAGTTTAGCATTTGTCAACGCTGTTTATCTTCTAACCTAAACTTCTAAACCGGCCAGTTTATCTTCTAAAATTAGTCCATTACAATGCAGTCTATGCAGGTAGTCACTGAAGAGAGTACAGAAAATTCAGTTCCTGCAGATGTGTGGCTTTCCTATTCTAGTCCATCACTTGCTTAGAAGCATCTGCACTAAACAATCAGGTACTTCTCAAGCCAAATCAAAGCATTCAGTTTTAGTAAGTGGCTTCTCTTTGGGAAGTCTCAGCATGCCCCCTTCCAGCACATCTTTTGATGAGACTTTGTTCCACCTTAGGGAAGTGCTTGGTCTAATAACCTCGACATTAGCAAACTCCTTTTACAGTGAATATTCAGCCAAGTCCTTCTTTTTGACTCCCACAAACAAGTGAATATCCTTTTCTTTCAGTATTCTGTTCCATTTTTTATGCTTTACTTTGAATTGTGCTGTTGAAGTCTGTTCTTACTTTTTGTTGGCGGTGGGTTTATTTTTTTTCCCCTGGAAGAAAATTAATGTAATGTTGGAAATCACTATAAAGCTTGCTATTGAAATATTCTTAGTAAATATGGAAAGGGGCTCTAAGATAAGTTGGAATGAGACAAGTAAACTCTTATACTCTCTAGAAAGAAATGCAGAGATTTGATTGCCAAACCAGCCAGATTACATAGAAGCTACAAAGTGTGATGCTGAGGCTTATTTCCCGGAATATGGCATGCAGAAGGAATAAGAATGGAGCTCAAGGCTAAAGCTTTATAACTTGAGCTTTGAGTGGCTGAGAAAGTATTGAAACCAGCATAAGCCATCTCTGAAATGATTACCAAAATAGATATTCCATCTACTGCTTCTCTGTTGTGTAAAATAAGGTACATAAGAAAAGGAAGTGGCATTTATATGTGAAATGTGAAACTCTTTTACAAACTCAACTTTAAATTACTTGGGAGGGAGGGAAGAATGAGCGAGCCACATGCAACCACTGGAGAAGTATTCTCAGCATTTCTTCATAGTACATGCTTAAAGTGAACACAATTAATTTGACATAATGAGCCATGGTGGCGTAGCGGTTAGAATACCGTACTGCAGGCTAACTCACTGCTCACTCCAGGAGTTCGATTCTGAGTGGCTCAAGGTTGATTCAGCCTTCCATCCTTCTGAGGTTGGTAAAATGAGGACCCAGATTTTGTGGGGCAATATGCTGACTCTGTAAACCTCTTAGAGAGTACTGTAAAGCACGATGAAGTGTTATATAAGTCTAAGTGCTATTGCTGTAATGCAGATGGTTGCTGTTTCTTAGCATGCTGTTTTCATTGATTTTGCATACATTTTTCTCTCTTAGCTTCAGATATCGTGGCTCCTCCAAGGCAAATTGCTTGGAGATGTCTCCTTTGTCCTTGTTGAGAACAAGACTGGAAAAGAGCAGAGCAGAAAGCTCTGGCACTTGAATGACCAGAAAGGATTGGGAGTATGGCAAAAGATGATCAGACCTCTCCCTGACGTTTTTGACAGGTAGGATATATCATGCTTCTTCATATGTCATTTAACTGAATGAATTCTTAACTGACTGAAACTGCTGATAAGCAATGACAACCAATTAACCTTTTCTCATTTAAATTCAGATTTAAGCTTTTTTTATATTATTTGAAAGCAGTGTGTTTTTTTAAAAAAAGCAAATTGCATCTACTTGGGCTTGGTTGTCCAATATTTAATGGGATCAACACAATCATAGACAGGAAATATAACTTTTTCTCTACAGCCATTGTTCTTAGGACAATTCCTTTTCCTCTCTCGCATCAGATTTGCTTGCCCATAGCTCATTCTTTATTTGTTCTTGCTGCCTGCTGATAATGAATGCCTGGAGTTTCTTTTTTATGCAGTGACTGGTTTCATGATGATTCAGTTCAGAACTGCTTCCTTGACCCCAGATTTAATATAGGCAGTCACTTCAGGAGATAGGCTTAGTATCTTTCTAGCATACGATGCCCCTCTGGAGTGTCTTACAAAAGATAAGTTTTCTTCTGCCTTGCACAGGTTTTTAAATGGATTGAAATCATAGACATACTGTGGCAGAAATGAAGTAGATATTATTTTGATCACAGAATGAATACAAGAGACTTAAAAACTTTAGCCACTGGGGTCTCCGCTAAATATGGCACTAGAGAGCCCCCAAGGCACATGTCATATAATTCACCAGTGTGTCAATGCTCAAATCTACACAAATACATCCTCTTTTATAAAATAAAGACACAAGCTCTTAATTGTTACTCAGAAAATATTGCTACTTTAAAATAATAAGGTAAGCATATCTAAGCATACTTCAGAGTAAATGTTGCTAGGCCTGCATGATAAAAACCTTTTACAGAACATTTAATATTAATCCTTGGGAATCCAAAACAGCTAACTCTGTATCTTGTTCAGGATAGAAAAGTCTTCCACAAACACCATCACTAAATGAAAATCAAACCCCAATCTACTTCTTAAAAAAATCTGGTGTTCTTCTCCTCTCTCATCTTAGGGACATTTTCATCTTTCCTCCCCATGTGTTTGAGGAGAGGGAAAGCTTGGCTGAAATGTTCAACACTGCTGTTCTTCCTTATTTTTTGAGTAGTTAAGTATTCCAGGAACAGCTTCATTACATTGAAAGCATTACTCTTTCAATGAGAAAATGTGGGAATCTAAGGATTTAATGTCTGTTTTATTTGTAAATTATACATTTAACAGCTGAGAAGAAATGGCTGGGAAGAAATATTATATCTTTCAAACCATTTTGTAAGGACTAAAGCTGAAGAGATGGGGACTAATAGTTCTCATACTAGAAAAAACTGTCATTGTATATAATTTCCACCGAAGACCAAGAATGTAAACTAAAATAGATGATAGAGGAGGGATGAGGGAGGGAGGGAGGGAGGGATGGGAGGGATAGATAGATAGATAGATAGATAGATAGATAGATAGATAGATAGATAGATAGATAGATAGGCAGACAGACACACAGACAGACACACAGAGAGAGAGAGATGATATAGAAGAATGAATATGTGTTTTTCTGTGATTTGTAGGAGACGCATATTGCACAGCTTCTATTTTGTCTGCATTAAAACAACTTATCTAGCTGTCTTGCATCTGTGAACTTCTCTTGCAGTAAATTCCTGAATACTAGATGAAATATCTGAGAATCAAGATGTATTGCCTTGCCTGTCATGAAGTCTAATACAGATTTATAGGCTCTGTACCCCATGAGATTTCACTTTCAGTAGATTCATGGCTATTTTGGTCTTTTTATGCTCCATGCTTTTTCTCCCAAATTTGCATTTCTCTTTCCCTTTCCTTCATATTTTCTGTCTTACTCACGTATGAACTTCCAGTAAGATTTAACAGATAATTCGAACATAAGATTCTTTCAATGAATCAGATATCTTTCTCCTTCCATCTCTCATTGATGATAGTAATTGATGTGGGTGATGTAGTTAACATATAGCAGTGGAGTAAGTCTACTTTCAGCCGCTGAAGTTTATTGGATTACACTGTGCCAGCCACTTTCTCTGCACCACAAGGTTGTTATGAGGAAAAAAAAATCAGAGAAAAGAATATTATGACAACTAATGAGCTAATTGAACAATCTGATTATGTGCTATCAGCTTGGTTCAAACTCCTAGAGACAAAATAGATAGACCTTCCCTAGGATTACTTCTCCACATTCTGCCCCTTCAGGTTTCTAGTAATGTACTAATGTCATAGTAATTGGGTCCATTCACCTTGCTGCTCTTTTTTCTTTCACCTTTCTCAGCATTATAGGCTTCTCAAGAGAGCAGGTCTTCACATAATATGTCCAGCATATGACAATGGTCATATGTGCCTCAAATGAAAATTGAAGAAAGGTGGGATAGAAATCTAATAAATAAAAATAAATAAATAATATTCACCAATTTCTCCATAAAAGAAAAGGGTTTTAGAAATCACAGAAGGATTTATTTGTCTCAGGAACAACTCTGTATTCCTAGTTGTCTTCCCCAATGCTAACCTAAAAATATGGGAAATGTCTGAGTGCTTAAGCCTTTGCTGCAAATAATATATTTATTGTTTGTGTCTCAGCCTTAACACTTTCATTCATGTTAAAAACAATGCATATAATTTTAAGGGTACCTTGGTGGAGATACTATGCCAAAAATATATTTCATCTTCCTGACTCTTGAAATAGCATAGCATAGTGTGGGTTAATACAAAAAGCATTCTATTGTGGATATGAAATTAATGTACGATATAAAACTATCAGCATTGCCTCCGTTTGCTGTTCTTTGTTGTCTTTGCCCTCCATAGTAAGATGTACTAGCTTCATTTCTTTTAGTTATCTTCCATTTTTCAGTAGCTTTTTTGAATTCATTTGTCTAGCATCATGTATGTGTTGCCAAGGTAACAATTTCCCCCCTAAACCCTATCCATTCTCATATACTTCATTTGTGAGGCTCCATTCTGACTCTCAGATTCTGTGCTGCTTTCCTTCTAACTATTTGCATGGTCAAATGCAAATTTATTCATCTTTGGCATATTATCATATAGATGCTGTTTCATATTTATCTTTTTCTTAGAAACTTTATATGGTCTATGGAGAGCTCTAAAACAATCTTCAGCATTCAAAACAAGCTCTTTGAAGGAATTCTGGAATTTGGGAAGCAATCCACAGAACCATTTTATCAAGAATGGTATAAACATGATATTAAAATGCATGGAAAAATAAAATCAAGAAATCTTACAGTAAAACTATTGGGTTTTTTCCCTTTCCTCTTCCACTTAACTACACCTGTATAGGTGCATACATTAATTTATATTTATTTAGACATTTTTAACAGCCTCTATTCTCATGGCCTTTCATGACTTAGAAACAGATTATAAAATTATCAGTATAGATATTACACCCATAAAATACTATAATTCTTTTTTCAAACCAAACACAATTCGGGGTGATTTCAGAGAATAGCCATGTCATTTATTTGCAATGATTTGCCAATACTTTTGCTTTATTTCTGGATTTTTTTTTTAAAAAAAATCCCCATCTAACCTGCAGCCTAGATTTCTCATCTAGATACTAGTTTTGTGGAAAAGAATTCACCTCTTCTTGGTTTTTCTCAAGTTTTGCATATATTTGTCACAAACAGTTATTAGAATTTAGTCTAATATATAGTCTATTCTATATACAGTCAGTTAGTTCAGTTAAACTAAGGGTAATCATAGGAATATTCCATTCATCAATAGAGGTTTTATTTTGGCTGGCCCTGCGCTATATATATATCATAAATATTGGGTCCCTTATCACAATTTTCACCATAACAATATAAGAAAGATCTTATGCTTCCTTGAAATAATTTTCTAGTGACTTGAATTCATTGTTTGTTATAATTCTAGACAAAGTTACAAAATCATTTCTAAAGTTTTGGATTCCCACTAGTCTACTATCTGATTCATAGTCTTGAAATGGACATTTGGAGGGGATGCAAATCTTCCTGAGATTATCTTATCAAAATCACTTCAAGAGAACAAGATAAAATTTTCCAGGGGGTTGCAAAATATTTTAACATTGGCCATATAGAAGGATATTTTTAAACAATAGACTCAGAAGTTAATTTTAAGAGTATTTGCCTCTATAGATAGATTGTGTTTAAAAGATGTTATGGAAGAGGAACTGATTTTATATGACAAGATTTAGGTTGAATTGAAAGTGGAGTTAAAAATGACAGACAATAAGAATGACATGGAAAAAATGTTACACTGGATATACAAAAGAAACTGGCTAATGTCTTAATAATAAAAAGGGATATACAAATAACTAAGTGAGTGACCTGGATAATTTCCCTATATTGGATTTACAAAAGAGGTATATTGAAGTTTTGAAGAATTTTGTGAGAGAGGACAAAGAAAAGGTGAAAAGAAATCAAGTTCTTGGACATTATTTAAAGATTATAGATCAAGATTGTTAGAAACAAAAGGAAGTAATATTAAGTTGTTTATCTGATCAAGGTTAAAATACATACATTGTTATTTCTCTTAACTACTATGAACTTTTGCTGACATCAGGATTGAAATGACAAGGCTTTAAGAATTTATTTATAAATCAGAGATGGGAAATAGGAAGAAAAGATTAATTCTTGAATTTTAAGGGAAAGTAATAAATTACAAAAAATGTTTAAACTTATGGATGAAAGGGAGAACCATTTCTTTATATTTTTTCCTTTACTCTGTTATTTTTTCTTTCTTTTTTGTTGATGAATTGAAGCTGAAATAGAAGTACGTCATGAAGCAAGATGTTGTTGTTGTTACTTGCGAAGTCATGTCCGACCCATCGCGACCCCATGGACAACGTTCCTCCAGGTCTTCCTGTCCTCTACCATCTTCTGGAGTCCATTCAAATTCACACCTACTGCTTCAGTGACTCCATCCAGCCATCTCATTCTCTGTCGTCCCCTTCTTCTATTGCCCTCAATCTTTCCCAGCATTAGGCCTTCTCCAGTGAATCC